AAAAAAAGAGTGTTTTGTTGATGCTTGCAGCTTTCAGGAAACCAAAAAGGACAGTTTCCATCCTTCTTTTCCAGTGACTACTGTCATTGACATACTTCCTAATTTGAACTGTGAATCTATTGAAAAACAAGGTGGCAGCAGCAGGATTGTACTGCAATAGCAGTGCCACAGCACAAGTCAAATGTAGCCTCGGTAGTGTTAGTATGAGTATAAAAAAATCACTTTAAACTTAACAGCTCAACCAACTTAACCTTGCAACTTGTCCAGACAATACTGCCACATAATAAAACTGAGACACCCTCTCTACCTGGGACGGTGTAGCCTGGGTCGAGCTTTTAAACCACCTCCTTAAAGCCCTCGGTCACTGCATCAATAAGTTCCATCCGCTGTTTGCTCTTCCTGTCATATGAAGTGCTCCAGCAATGCTCATTTGAGTCATTTGTTGACTTTTGGACCACACATCACCAGCTGTTAATATCTCCTCTGCAGCCTGTTTGTACTTTTTCGCCTCAAGTGGTGAAACAAGTTTGTGGTTTTCACCTTTAGCAGCAACAGTTGTTGAAGTAGCTCCGGATGAGGCTGCACTTGAGGCTCTTCCTCTCAAATGCCCGGGCTTGTCTTGCTGTTGTGGGCACTAGGGAACGTACATGCATGGCGTTGCTATAGAAATGTATATATCACAGACCTGTCTCCCAGTATAGTCACAGATGCTTGAAAAGCATTACTGTTGCGCTAACAATATCGAATAGTTTTATGAGACTGGCAAAAAAGAGAAAAAGCACTCTTCCTTTAATAAAAGTAATGTTCATATCTCTCCACTCCTCAGAGGTTGTGAATGTCTCAGCTACAGTTTTTTATTTTGTATTTTTTTTAATTCCAGTTCAAGCGAAGAGGGGGAAAAGCTCACTGTTCAGATCACTTAAAAGATGATGCATCACATGTAAAAAAACACAACTGCTTGATTGGTAATTGTAATGTGATTACAACGGATTACATAATAAAAGAAAATAAATATAATGTGGTTACAGTAATGTTATACCTACAACTGGCCATGGAGGCGATGATTCTTGGATGTCATGCA